AATATATAATGTTAAAAATTAATGAAATTAATTTTTAATATTAATAATTATTTTCTTATAGAAAATAATTATCAATGTTAAACCGGCGCCCAACATATGAAGAAATATTAAAGGAAGCAATGACATCAAGATTAAGAATACTACCAGAAAGGCAGAAAAGAACACAGCAAGGGATATTAATAGAAGATGTTGATTTTGATGAGTTTGATTTAAGCAGATACGATAGAAAAGAAATAGCATTAAATAACCCAGAGAAGGGAACGCAAACAGATTTATTTGATAATCGGTCTTCAACTGAAACGAGTGAAAGTATGAAATCATTAGAGAAAGAATATACACAAAGCATTGAAGTAGAAAGCGAACCGACCCAAGCGAGAGAACCAGAAAGAGAGAGCGAAGAACCCGAAAGAACGCGCGGAAAATCAATGATGCATAGATTGTATGATGCTATGTTTGGCGAGGACGAATATAAAGAAGAACGAGAAGAACTGCGAAATAGAAGGCAACAAATAGAGCAAGAAGAAGAACAAATAGAAGAAAAAGAAGGTGCTTCGTCAGATGTCTCGCGAAGCTCTCGCGACTTACCAATGAATGTTAAAAAATCTTATGAGCCTTCTTCATCGTCAAGTTCAAGGAGAAGTTCAACAAATAGAAGTGTATTACTTCCTATTGAAGACGAAGCGTTAAGCGAATATATCCATTCTTCACCACCAGTTTCAGTTCAAAGTTCAATACAGAGCAATAGAACAATTGAATATGTAGAAGACGCGGCGCAGTCGCCACCACAAAGTGTTATTAGTTCTCGTAGAAGTCAAGAAAGAATAGAATATATAAGAAGTAGAAGTTCGCGAAGCACTTGAACATCATTGCAGATAAGAAAATGAATGTAAAAAATAATTTGATTTTTAAAGGCTTTTTGAATTACCAAAAACCACTTAAAAACAAGTTATTATTATATATTAAGATAGGAGATGAGTGCATTTTTACAAATGGAAGGTGGGAACAGAATGACAATTGATGATGATTTATTTGATGTTCTTTGGAACTCATTAGATAATGATGAGGGGCACAAAGAAGCAAAGAGAAAGGTAATGAATGATAAGCATCATGCTAAAAACAAAGAGAATGGTTATTATAAAGAATATCTCAAAAAGAATGATACACCTTTTGAATGTGAGAGGTGTGGTTGCAAGTTAAAGAGTAAATCCAACAAATCAGCACATTTAAAAACCCCAAAGTGTCAGAGGTTGTATGAACAGAAAAAATATAATGAAATGGAAGACCAATTAATCAAGAAAATAGTATGTTTATGAAATAATATTATTATTATCTATTTAATAATAATATTAGCAAGGATGAATAAAAATGAAGTTTTGAGTGATTTATATTATGATATAGAGACAGGTTTTGGAAGTGCTAAGAGTTTGTATGATGATGCAATCAAGAAGGGGTTGGTAATAACTCAGCAAGAGGTGAAAGATTGGTTAAAATCACAATCATTGAAACAGAGGAAAGGTTATAAGAATTATAACAGTTATTCAACACCATTTGCACGGGCGGTTTTTTCTTGCGATATAATGGATATGATAAGTTTAATGAAAGACACGGGAACTTATAATAAGGACACTAAACGTTATGGTTTGGTATGTATTGACAATTTTAGTAAAAAGTGCCACGTAGTTGCTATTGCAAATAAAGATGGTGAAACATTGTTCGGAGCCTTTTTGGAATGTTTTAAGGTAATGGGTCATCCCCAGTCAGTGTATAGTGATGATGAAGGAGGGTTCAAATACAAGAAGTTTCAGGATTACTTGAAAGGTGAAGGTATTACTCATAACATTACTTTAACACACGCGAACGTAGCAGAGAGGATGATTAGAACATTAAAGAAGATGATAAGTGATAGACTGTTAGTTCATAAGGGCGCTTGGACGATAATGTTAAAACCCGTTCTAGGTAAGTATAACGGTAAGATGAAGCACAGCACAACAGGAATGACACCTAATGAAGCTCACAAGGACGAGAATAGTGTGGAAGTAAAAGCAAACTCAGTAATGAAAGAGAAGTATTTAAGAAAGTATCCAAATATCAAAGAGGGAGATGATGTTAGGGTATTTACTAAAAGTGGTGGAAACTGTACCAGCAGGAAAGAGTCCAGAAATCAGTGGAGCGAAAAAATTTATGAAGTGAAAGAAGTTAGTAGAGACACACAGTTGAATAAGTATTATGTTGTTGAAGGACTGAGTAAGAAATATATGAGACACGAGTTATTATTAGTTAATTCATAAAATATGCAAAAGGTGTGGTATTAAAAACTTTACAGAAAAGGACTTAAAGATAAAACGCCTTATTATATTATTATAAAAATGACAAGTCAGGAAGAAACCATCAAGACAGTGAAAACATTTATCAAAAATAACCCTTATCCAAAATACGAAAAAGTTGTAGAAATATTAATTAGTATTCCTCGCGCAGTGCCAATTGCTAATTTAAAGCAAGAAGTATTCAATATGATAAGCGAATATGGAAGAGACAATCACGAATGGATGAAAGAGATATATGAAAACATAATGGATGAAAAAGTAATAAAAGAAAACGGTAAAAAGATTAATAATAGAGGGGGTCAAGTAGCAATGGTTGAAAACTATTATGTTATAGTTCATATTTTAGGTGATAAAACAGATGAGTTGAAAATGAAACACGATGAAGTAGTAGAAATCTTATACCCTATCAAAACACAAATTAGTCAATGCTGGGATGGTATAGGTGAGTGGAGACATTAACAACTAAAAAGACAATTAATCAACCATTAACATAATATTAACTTTCTGGGGATTTTGTGATGAATCTTGTTAATAACGGATAAGGTGGATACTCCTTAGAAAGTTAATATTTTGTTAATTTTTTGTGATTTTGGTGGTGGTAAATTGGATACTCTTTGAAAAAGTGTGAAAAATCTGGGGTAGAACACTTCAAGAAATGGTGAATGAATGAGGCGGCGAAATGACAGAAATGAATGAGGCATTTTGTCCCCAGAACCATCCTGAATAAAATGAATGAGGTGATGATATGAATGAAACGAATAAGGGGCGAATGTGGTAAATGTCCCCAGAGATTTTAGAAATTTATAACGAACGAGGCGATGAAGTGATGATGTAGATGTTATGCTGTTGTAAAATGATGTATCAGCATAGGTGGGCAATGTATAATGTGCCAGTCCTCAGAATCACCCTTTTATTAGTTTTCCCCCCCCCCCCCCCCCCATGCTAAATTCCACATTTCCTCTGCCATTTTTGGTAGGATTCCTATTGTTTTTCATCGGAATCGTTTTAATTTCAAGAGGATTTCTATTATTTTAACAAGATTTCTATTTGCGTTCTTTTTTCGTAGCATTTCAATTCAATTTTAATGGGGTTGGAATTATTTTTTTGTCAAATCGGACTTCTACTAATTTTAATAGCAGTTCAACTAATTGTAATAGGAGTTGAACTTAATTCGAAAAGGATTTCTATTATTTTAATACGAATCCCGTTAAACGTTATACAAATCTTATTAGAAGGAATAAAAACCTCAACCCGATTAGAATCAAAAGAAGTCCGATGAAAACTTTAATTAAAATCAAGTGAAACCCTATTGAGAATACTTTTATTAAAAGAAATAGAAATGCCACGAATCGAAGCCAGAAACCCTTGCTCCCTATCAAATAAAATTCCACATTTTGTATTTGTTAATTTCTATTAAAGTAAATCGAAATCTTATTAAAATTGATAAAAGGGGGAATTGACCGGGGGGGGGGGGGGGGGGGGGGGGGGGGGGGGGGGGCTCCCCCCCCCCCCCCCACTTGAACAAGAGAGGGGGGGGGGGGGGCCCCTTGAACAAGAGAGGGGGGGGGGGTGGGGGGGGCTGGCTTGTTTTCCCGCAGGCCGCAGTGGCGCGCGCTATCGCGAGAACTACGAAGCGGGGTGCAAAGCGAGAGAATCATTGCGAATCATTGCCTGAATCAATATGCTCCGGAGACAGATTGTGCTCAGAGTAATTCACCAGCCAGACAGCCAGACATGACATCCAGCCACCGCTGGCCAAAACGAAAGGCCGACTTTGCCCCAGAGTCCAAGCAAAGCGTCAAGACGCCTTCCAAGAAAAGCGCAAAACTTCAGGCGCTCTAGCTGACGCTTCGGTTCCTGACTACTTCCTAGCACCAGTTTCAGCACATGCTTTCTGACGCAACTTGAGGTTTGGCCTGCATGCTGTACAACTCTTTCAAAAAAGTGGTGTCGCCAACGACTCTCGAAGCAGAAGACTCGGGCCAGAGCGTGGACTGTAACATGAATCCCAGGCGCACCACTTGTCCTAGAACCTGCGGCGAGCGATGGAGCCGATCGGGCAGACATCTATCAATCAATTACCCGATTCAGGAAACGACATGCCGTGACGAACGCCTTCCTGGGTGCAGACCAAAAGAAGACTCCGAAAGCTTGGAGACCTCAGCCAACTCGAAGCTCCGTATCTCGCCGTGGCTTGGCGCGCATTATTAACCCCTTGTCGTTGCTAGCGCAGAAATAGAATGGGTCGCATCCTGCAAAATGACTAACTTAGGTGGTTACGATTTGGCATTTGGATTTGCACTCATATTCGCCCTTGGCCCTCAATCAAGCACAAGATTTTCGCAGCCAACTCGTCGCCGCACCGTGACGAGAGCCACTTCGCGGCACTCCTGAACGCAGCTTCGGTGCTAGCCTGGAAACTGGGTGATACGTGGAGTGGTGTGCATGGCTCAACAACATCTCAACAACCAACAACAAACACACATATGCTCAGTGCAAGCAAGACCATGTGAAGAACCCTGAGAAGACTCATTCTGCTGCAAACCATGCCCCTCAGAGACACCCCGCCGCCTTCCTTCAGAGCGATTTGCGGGCGTTGCAAGTGCGAGAAATGAGCACGCGCATGCGAATTACAAGACAAGTCTTACAAAATGCAGCTTCGCTACGCGAGGTCTTTCAAGGGGTTGGGGTCGACGGGAAGTCGTCCGCTCGACGAATGTGGAGGTCCACGGCCATGGCACTCAGCCAGTGCAAATCAAAGCGATACTCTTTTCATGACATGCTCTGAAGCATTTCCGTGATACTCATGCAGAAAAACGGCAAAAAACAAGACATGGAACCTGCTCATCGCCTGAGGCCCACACGATTTCAGCTCGTTTGCTATGAGTTCGGCATCGCCCCAAACGTCGTTGACGCGGTCTATTCGCATCTGACAGATCAAGGAAAGCTTGTGCATGTCCAGAACTGCAAGTGTGTGGGGGATTAGGAGGTGGCAGTGGCAACCGCAACATGGCACATGGATGGACCTACGATTAGGCTCGTCAGCTGTCCATTTCACCACGGCAGTCAAGACAAGATGGCTCAGCAGTCAACGGGCATCGTATCGGAAGCTTGATGACAGTCATCCACTTGTTCATGTAAGCAAGATGTCAGCTACAAGGTACCTACCTCTGGAAGCACCACGAATGCGTATCTTCCCATTTCAACCTGCATGCGTGCTGCATTGCAACTCAGCATATAGTCGACACATGGAAGGCTGGCGGCTGGCAGTCAGTCTTGGACAGCATGCACACCAAAAACTATTTGTCTGGACATGTCTGGACAGCTGACTTGCAAGACCTGTTCTTCGCCGTCTTGCCAACTCGATCCAGAAATTAATTCGCTGGGATAGGTCCCACCATGTCCTGAAGGCAGGCCTGGTGCTTATTGTATGCCATGAGTGCACCATCATCGAGCACCTGCGATGAGGCGGCACAGTGTGGCAAACAAACGTACGGGGCATGTCTGAAGCTGACCAACTTCGATTCTATTTGGGTTCAGTTGGGTTCTGCTGTGCAGAGCTTGGCAACGGGTCCTCAGGCACGAAGCTTCCCGCACAACCCCGGGTGATTGGGGGCTCCCCAGCCCAATTGCACAGTCAATCGTAGCTATGCGCAGTATTGCAATCAATAACAATTTGGGCGATAAGATAACGGCCTCGCATACAGTGCACGGGCGCACGGGCTCACGGGCACGCCCACCACAGGCTCACGGTCTCACGCTCCAAAGCATATTACTACATCGGGCTGCGTACCCACGACTTTGTTTGAAGTAACAACCTATGGGTGATCCAGTAAGGTTACCCAGTTATAAGTGGTTGCTCTTAAGTTCCCTCCAAGTACCAGAGCAGTGTTCGAGCCTTGACATATCAAGACGCGGACTGCATACCTTGACTCTCTTTTTGGGCCGATACAGATTGGATACCTTTCTCCTAAGGGCAAATACAGTGTGCTTTCTGGGCCGATGCAGACTGGATACCTGACTTTCTTTTCTGGGCCGACTGGGGTGTGGGCTGATAGGCCATCATGAGCATATGATAATTCGCAGATGCGTCACTGCATGCCACCGCGAATGCCAAACCATGAGCTACGCAAGTGCTTGCTTACATGCCTCGCTGGCTTGTTCAGTGATCATGCCTTTACCTTCACATCGCTAAGCACAAGTGCGCCCTTGGACGAGGCAAGTCGCCAACAGTGTGCTGCTAATCTAATCAATGCAGCCAATGCGCCCGACGCTCGTGCTATGTTACTTTGTCGTGTTAAGATTCTTGCGGGCTCGCCTCGGTGATGCGAACTTCTTCGGCAAAAGTGCCCTGAGGCCGCTCAAATCGGAATCCAAGCTTGCTCCCGTTTTCCTGCAGAGGGCAAGCAACATCAAGTTCATGCCTACGCAGGCACACGACGATCTCGGCGCTAGATTTCACTAGAAGATACTAGAAGACTAGATCCTTCAGCCTCGTCTGCGCGACTCTGCATGCAGCGCGATCACAATCAATGCTGTTGGCAATGCTACCCCGGCAACGAAAAACAGAACAGGCAAACTAACATGGAGCCTTGCTCAGGCCGATGATGAACCGATCTGGAAACCTGACTCAAGCTTGTCCAGCCGAGTCCAACCGTGGCCGGACTAAGCATGGTAATGCAACGACGCTTTGATGAGGCGGACATTGGCATCTGTGGGTTCAGCTAGGCACAGAATGTGGAAAGCTTGATTGCCGATCCATCATGGGACAGTACGTGAGTACACGGGTTAAAGTACATCTTTACTTGAGGAGTTCCCAGCCTCACCATTTGAAGGAAGACACGTGGCTCACGGATCTCCCTGGCCATTGCCTCCACGATGCAAGACCCATCGTTGGGCGGGGTGGGGTGCTTGAAGTCTTGTCCGCGCCGGCGCCTTGCGCGCCGCAAAGCTTAGTTACAGCTTCGGCTGTGGCATGTTGGACGATTGGGCGATCGGCAAGTAGATGGCATGCAGAAGACCAAATCATCCCGGACTACAAGTTGTAGCAGTGCTTCGCGGATTGTGAACTCAATCGGTGCGCCATGGTACACCCTTGAGCAACGTCCCCTAGCGTAATTATTCACACGCATCGTCATGGCATGCAGTCAAAGCAGCATGTGCCCACAGTTTCCCG